TGGCACCTGGACTCCCAAGGGCACCTATATCCCCCCCTTTCCTTTATCACCCCCTTGGCCTTCCACACAGCCCAGCTTTTCCTGTGACTTGGATGCTGGCAGCCCTCTCAGGTCCATTCTTCAGGATTTAGCTGCAGACCCTTACCCCAGGCAACAGGAATGCCCTGCACAGACTTCAGGGTAGCCGTGCGCTCTGATCCCTCTGCAAAGAGAGACCGTGAGGACTGTACGGGTAAGCCGTGATCTTCAGTCTACTTTCTTTTTTTTGTTTTGTTTTATTTTTTTTTTTGTTTTACGAGACAGAGTTTCTCTGTATTGTTTTGGAGGCTGTCGGTCCAGCCCGGCCTCGAACTCACAGAGATCCTCCTGCCTCTGCCTCCCAAGTGCTGGGATTAAAGGCATGCACCACCACCGCCTAGCCTCAGTCTACTTTCTGTCTGCATCCATAGCATCTTTACACGAGGTACATGGGTCAGGGTAGAGGAGATTTCACTACGGGGAGGGCCACGGCAGAAGGCAGTGATCAGTTTTCACAGGGCTGGGCCCCTCAGCCCCTTCTAGGTAAGTCTCCACGAGTAACCTAGCTTCCCTGGTCCCGCTCTCTGCGGCCACGGCTCCTCAGTTGACTTTGCTTTTTTGGTAAACACAGTGCTCTGGTCACTGTTGTTGGTTCCCACTGTCGGCACCCCTACCTTCCATACAGCCAGAGTAGTTTAGGAGGCCGGGGAGTGCTTGGCTGTGTTACTGGCGTATCTCTACGGCCGCGCCTGAGGTCTCCCTGTGCCACGGGGAGGGTGGCCAGGTGGCTCATGAAACGTATTCCTTCCTCTGGGAGAGAGTGTGACATTTTAACGACTCAAAACAGCAGCCAGCTCAGAGTCTTCTTCGCTCCGAGGTACGTGGGGGGTTCTGGACACAGAGACAAAAGGCACGGGTGGGCTGTCCCTCACTGCAGGTGGGGCCTGGGTAGGTGTGTCTCATCGGCAAGAACAAGGTGAACCCCAGACAAGGGCTGGGTGAGCAAACCTCAGTGGGAGGAAGAACTGACCATAGTATGTTCGCAGAGTTCGTTATGGGCCCTCATTCCTACATAATTAGGCAGGTGGTAGGGTTGGGGAGCAACCCAGCCTTGCCCACCTTGGGAAGAATGCCACCTACCTAACTCATAGCCTCTCGTGTCTGCCACAATGAAGCTGGGTGTCCCCAGGCTGGTTTCTGGACTTCTGCAATCCGCAGTCCATCAGGAACGTCCACCCCAAGCGCCTGAGGTGTGAGTTCAGGCCGCTGAGGAGTGAGGGGCCAACGGATGTGCAGCGGGTGGCGGAAGACGGTGGCACTTGGCTCTCCTTTAGACTACCCCCTTCCTGCCTTTGGGTAAAGTGGGCTTTTCCCACCCCAGGATAGGTACCGGGGGCCTCAAGACCTGGTGGGGGCCCCACTGTCCAGCTACAGGAGGAAGCTGGCCCCATCCCTGTTCCCTCAAGTCCCCAGAGAGCTGCCCTTGACCCCATTACAGAAGAAGCCAGGCCAAACTGGGAATGGGCCTCCGGGGGCCCTCGGGAGTTGCTGAAGCACCTGCTTCCAGCTGTGGCTGAATTTATCTTCCCTGTTGGCTGTGAAGCTGCCAGGTCACACAGCCCTGCGAGGAACCCCGCACTGCTTTCCCCCCTCCTCCAGGCAGACTTCTTGGCTACCTCCTCAGTCTTCGCCATCGCTGAGTGGACACTTCTGTGCCCGCCGCCTTGGACTCAGGCTCACCCAGCTGCTCAACCGCCATTGGGATCTAGCACGAGGGCCCAGTACGGTGCCAGTGTCTGTGAGAGCCAGTCTGACAGTAGGGAGACCACACGGTTCCAGAGGGAACCGGGCTTGATCACAGCTCCACCAAGGGCTGTGCGACTCTGGAGGTAGGTTTCCTAGTCCCTCTTTGTTGTGAGTTTCCTCATCTTCACCTTCTGGTCGTATAGGCTAAGGAACAGCATCAGAAAAGGGCAGGGGGCTTATCCAGGGGGGGTCACACAGCAGGCCTAGTGGAAAGGCAGCCCCGCACTGCTAACCCACGGGGGCAGGAATGAGCAGCAGGCTATTTCCAGCTCAAGGCTGGAGTAGCAGGAGGAGGCGGTGTGTGTGTGTGTGTGTGTGGCACAGCAGGCTGCAGAGGCTGCTGAAGAGGGGTGGCCTGGAGGCCACAAATTCCGGGCAGGGGCTGGGGCATGCATTCTCAGCTGGACTGAAGACTGACAGGCATGCTACAGGCAGCCCTGGAAAGTCCACTTCTGCCTGACCTCAGGCTGGGCCCAGCCAGCCCTCTGCGTGCTGACCTTGGCACCCGCATTGTGCTTAACCCTAGAAGTACACAGACTACAGGTGACTGCCAGGCTGCAGGCAAGATGACATACCCTGGAGCCTGGGGGCTGGTGGGACAAGAGTGTGGCTCTTGTCATGTGGTTGCCTACAGAACATGCATGGACTCACCTCCTCAGGAACCCAGACCCCCCCGCCAGTTCCTGATGTCTTGTGATTCCACGGGCAAATCTCTCTCTCTCTCTCTCTCTCTCTCTCTCTCTCTCTCTCTCTCTCTCTCTCTCTCTCTCTCTCTGTCTCTGTCTCTGTCTCTGTCTCTGTCTCTCTCTCTCTCTCTCTCTCTCTCTCAACTGCCCCTGAGTATCCAAACAGCTGGAGTCAACTAGTCAACTACGTCACCCTACGTGCCACCTACCACCCGTCCCCAGGCCTGGCCGGAGGTATTAGTGACCATACGACACCTCCCAGAGAAGACTCTCTCACCTGCAGATGACAACGCGGAGGCTCAGAGAGGCTTTGTCACTATTGTGAGACAATAAAAAAGTGGAGGAACAGAACCACAAGCACCCCAAAGTCTAGGCCCAGAGTCCACATTCTTAACCGTGTACTGTTCAATGCATCCACCCAGTGTGCCTTTTATTATAGACTCCAGGCACAGAAGGGGCAGGGCGTCACAACCCGACAGGACGCCCTCTCCTTGGGAGAGCAGCCCAAATCTTCTCTCTTCTACCCAGTGAGTGGCTTGCCCAAGCTCTGTGTGGGCTGAGCAGTATCTCTCTCCCAGTAATAGGCAGGACTGAAGGCTTCTTTACTCTGGTGGACCAGACCTCCAAGACCCACCAGGTCATCCTTAGCAGCCTAGAACCTGGAGCTTCTCCTGTACCCGGGGCTGAAGCTAAATTTTACCAAGAGGAAAAAGTCCATCTCTATCTAGGGTACGGGCCTCTACAGCCATCATCCATCCGACAGCCTGGTTGGACTTCACCACAACCCAGGAGCTTGGAGCGGCGTTTTTAGGTCTCATAGCCACAGTTTTTGCATACAGCCAATAGGAATAATGCCTTTTACTTTTACTGGTTCTCTGCCCACCACAGAGAACCACAAGAGACAGCACCTGATCACAGCACTGGACGCAGAAGGTTCCAAGCATCCAACCCACAGGAACAAGTGGATGGTTAACGGGCAAGCAGAGACCAGAGGCTCTGCAAACAGAAAGTTCTGGACTTTGATGCAGCTGCCCTGTTGCTGAATAATTCTCTCTGCTGTCAGTTTGCCTGTTTAGGATGCATGGGACTGGGTAGCAGGGGGCAGGTAAGGCAGGCTGGAGCAGCCTACCCAGGAGTTCCCATACTATGCTAGTGCAGCCTGTGCCCAGCTGCTTGAGACAAGCTAGACCCTGGCATCGCAGAGCCTCTTGCTTGTGGGAGGGGGACCCCGCCACTCACTCAGTGGATGAAGCTCAGAGGCGGCGGGGCCTCGCGCAGGTCAGCAGGCCTGTATATGGCTTGTAAGTGGAGGAGCCCGCACACCCACTTGATTACCCGTACTTCATCCTACTTCTGTGTAGGAGAAGTACTCCTACACCAAGTACATTCTACTCCTATACCTGGCTTCCCGGGCTGGCCTTTGTCACACTGGCCCCTCAAGCTTTAAGGGACCTCACGGCGCCTGCCACCATCATCCTGAAGTCCTTAGTGATTTGTGAACAGCTGGCTTTGGTTTTTATTTTTCGATGGGCCCTGAAAATGATACAGCTGGCCCCAATTCTGACGGATTCTCATGGGCACTCAGGTGCAGGCCTGAATGGCTGTAAGTTAACTTTTGCTTCCCTGGGGCTCTTGCGGGAGCTCTGCCTTCTGTATCAGCACGGTAAGCCCTTCTCGCCTTCCCCAGGTCAGCTCAACTGCCACTTCCCAGGCTTTCTACCCTGAAGAAGATGCTGCTCCCATGTCAGGGAGGCATGCCGGCAGAAAGGAGGGGCTTGGGTGCAGTGCGGTTAATCTAATCAATACCAGTTCTGATCCTGTCATATCCTTCCCCGTGTGGCCCACCCTCTCCGGGCCCCGGTTACCCTAGTCTAGTGTGAAATGGCCAACTCCTGGAGGATCTAAGGAAGTCAGATTATAGCAGCCAGCTGCCGCTGTCACTTTGTAGAAGGCCTCTCCATTTTTGCCTTGAGTTGGTTCTTCTGGGGACACTCAGATCTACCCTTATAAGAAGGTGCCGCGGGCTCAAGGGTGCACAGACATGAACTTAAAACTAGGTTTGGTCGGGTTGTGGGGTCTTGGGCAAGGCACTCCCTGACCAAGGCTCAGTTTCCTCACCTACACAATGGGGATGGTGACAGTCACTCCCTCAAGAGCAGGCGTAGAGGAAAATGCTTAACAGGAGCAGAGGACACTTCTAGTACTATGACTACTGTTACTATCTCCATGAACTACATTAGAAGGCAAAATCCCTTAGCAGGAGGGTGAGAGCTACATGATAGAATAAGACCACACTGCCAACGCCCAGGCTAGGCCCAAGCCCTCTCTTTCTGGTTTGGAAGCCCAGGAACAAAGGGGAAACTGAGAAATAAGCATTTTCCCATCCAGCTCCTTAAGCTACTGACATGGCCTATTCCAGATGGCCACACACACTTACCCGTCCCTCAGTGGCAGACTCCCAGTACCAGTATAGCTGGCTCATCCACTCACCTGCTAAGGCTTCCTCCCGCCAGTCGATCCCAGCTCAAGGCCCTTGCAACGTTGGGGAAGGGATGGCTGCGGTGAAGGAGGTGCTGGGTGGGTTCTACGGTGTCTGAGCACAGTGGCCACAGGTTCTGCAAGAGAGAGCAGAGGAGACAATGAGCTCCAGGTTCGGGCCAGCGGGCAACCCTGAGCCTCCTTGCTGTCCTCAAGGTCCATCATGCTTGGGTCCTTCAAACCACCTCCTGGAAAATGCAGCCACATGTCCAAGGGAAGCTCCAGAGAACTGGGAGATGCAGCTCCTCTTAGAGGAGGCCCAGGCTCCTGAGATGCATACTGTAGGCTGACACCTCCAGTCAGCCTCAGTGGGCTCTATGGCCTCCTGTCCGCTAGTCTTCTCCTCTTTGTCATTCCAAGCCGGAGGCCCTCTCTGACCACACCCCGTCTGTTCTCTGCAGATTTGCGGCGTATTGGCCAAGTTTCTCCCACATTTCCAAAGCCTCGTCAGAGAGAAGTTCTGATATATCTGTCATCTGACATTGTTATCAGGGGACACAGGTGTTGGGTGGAGAAGAGAGAGGAGTGAACAACCAGGACAGCAATCCTGGTGCCGTGAGGGGCTCACGGGACAGGCTGAACCTGTGGGCCGGCTGCCACAAGAGTGTTCAATTAAGAGGCTGTCAGAGCATCCCAAAGGCTTCCTGCTGGTTCCAGAACATGGTGGTGGCAGTGGCAGGTGTGTGTGTATGTGTGTGTGTGTGTGTAGAGAGAGAGAGAGAGAGAGAGAGAGAGAGAGAGAGAGAGAGAGAGAGAGAGAGAGAGAGAGAGAGAGGTTGATTTTCTCTGCTGTTCTACAAAAGAGGAAACTGAGGCCCTTACAGGGGCCCACTCTTTCCAGGATTCCTTAGTAAGTGATAGGGGCAAGATCAGAAGTATGTAATATCTCCTAGCTTTGCCCGCTACTGGCAGAATCAGGTACGAAGGCCGCTCTGACAGACTCCTCTCTCAGCTGTGTCTCCAGACAAAACTGACTGTCGAGGATGAGCTACAGAAGACGGGAAGTCCCTAGGGCTGGAAAAATTACCACGGGGAAGAAGGCTTTCTCAGGTCAAACTGCTCAGCCTGCTAGCCCTTCTCCCTCCAGCCTGGAGAGCTGAGGCTAGGGCTCCGGGAGGGAAGTACGGGGACCCTCCTGCAGCTGCCAACGAGCAGACACCCATCAAGCCCATCTACAGCCTTTATAAAGCTCCCTTCTCCCTCAACACTGCTGGTGGGGCACACACTAATATCGACGTTTTGGAGTAGGGTGTGGAAACCCCGGTCTGGTGGGCTAGCCCACCACCCGGCAAGTCCATTCCTGCAGCAATGCACACATTGGTTCCTCCGTGCCAGGCACAACGGCCTCAGAGTGGATACTTTCTATACAAATGCCAGCCACAGGAGGGACAAATCGGTGCCATCCCATGTCCTCCCTCAGCATATCAAGAGGATGTGACCCCCTAATTATATCCAGCAACACCACATAAATCCCACCAACTGAGCAAGGAAAGCCGGACTCCGGCAAGAACACACTTGGAGACCGCAGAGACCAAGGTCAAGAAGAGGCAAGGGGACTCGGGGCTGGGGCACAGCCAGGGCATGCCCTCTGGAAGGGCAGCGTGTTCTTCACCTGTGATCCCATGTGAGCCTTCACACTCACTTTGAGGGAGAGGATTCAGTGAGAGCGGCATTTGCTGGGGCTACGGGAGTCTCTGCCTTTCTGACCTTGACTCTCAGAAAGCCACAGAAGAAAGCATTCTACTTCACCGGACAGTGGAGAGGTGAGCCGCAGCCAGTACTCCAGCACACTGCTAAGTGGGGAAAAGGCCTTTACCTCAGGTGATGGGAGGGGCTACAGGAGCCCCAGGGACTCCCCAGACAGGCGGGAGGGGAGCTCTTGCAGGAGAACCGAGAGCAGGTTTCAGAAGTCAGGGTCCCTTGCAGGAGGGGGAGTAGCGTCTGAGAGGAACACTGGGCTTTCCTAGGGAGTCTGGAATGTTGTTTCTTGGTGGTGCGGTGGTTACACAGGCAGGCTCACTTTGAGACAATCTATCCAGATACATAAGTAAGGCAGGACACTCTTCTAAGTAGCTGTGACACTTCGATTGCAGCCGAAACCAAGCAAATCTCAAGGCCTTGGCCTGAGTGGCAGGTCCAGGCCCTCCCTGGACTGCCCTGCTGTCCCACCTTCCTATTCTCCACACACCACGGTGGCCTCACCTCTGCACCTGGGATGCCGGACCCCTCCCCACCATGCCGGGTGGTGCCTCCTCCAGGAAGCCTGTCTTGATTTCCCTCCCACCCTTTTCTGGGCCCACATGAGCACAGTTCTGGGTGGGAGGGGACAGAGCCTATCTCAGGCAGGGCTGAGTCTTCTTGTGATGACTCCAAAGGCTCTTCCAGCAGAGGCCAGTCATCTCCCGGGGAAGACATCCCCACAGTGACCCCATGGTAACCAGTCTCCTAGTGACACAGATCACCGGCCAGCATCAAACAAGGCAACACCCCTTCACCATCGTTTCCATCATCTCCAGCAAAGACTGAATGAAGGTTGCGGCTGAACTTGGGAATGCAAAGAGGGCTCCACAGTGGGAAGGCTTAAGGGGCTCTCTGTTGTAGAGGACACCATAAATGTGTACCATTCCCCCACAATCGCCCATTAAAATCAGACCACAAGAGCCCCCCCAAAGAGCAAGGCAAGAGGTATGCGGCCAGACAAGGACACTGACTCCTCTGTAATCCTTCAGTGTGGGCCTTCAGACCTAGCCTGCACGGCAGCCTCCCCACCTGCTGTGGGTGACTAGGACGGGGTCTCCAAAGCTAGGGCCTACGCACATACGATCCTCCATGGGCCTCTTGTCTTCATCCCCCCCACCCCGCCATCCCCCCCATTCCCAGCTCTGTTCTAAGTGTATGTGTGGCCACTAGCCCTTAGCCTGCCACCCATCTGAAAGATAGGCCAATTCAACCATCTCTGACGGGTCCCCTTTCCCGCTTCGGTCGAAGGCCTGAGCCCCAAGGGGGCCAAGTGACTGGGTCTCGGGTCTTTTCCTGTCTCCACTGTGCTAGCAGCAGTCTGAAGCAGCTACCTCATTCCACACAGGCCACAGCACCTACTCCCAGCCTCAGGAGGCCCCTGCTGAGCAGGGAGGCATAGTTGAGTCAAAGCATGGCCAGGCTGGGTGTGGGAAGGCCATGCGGTCCCTGGGGAGGAGGTCTGTCCTATATAAGAGAAGACAGCTATACAAACAGCCGGAAAAACAGCTGTTTGTATATGTACGGGTAGGTGGGGGTGAGGACGCCATCCTTAAAGGTGTGCAAGCAGAGGGAGGCCCCATGAACTCATAGGTCCACCAGACGCAAGCTGGACTTTGATTCCTGACTCCCCTGAGGAGCCAATCATTCAGGCGTCTGCATTGTCCTCTCCCTGGAGAGAATGTGGGTCTGGAAGACAGCCCAGAAATTTAAACAGATAACCAGATTTCCCAGGTGATCCTCAGCACCTGGAAAGATGGGGAGCACTGACAGGGACCTTCCCGGTCCTTCTGGGCCTAAAGATCATCAGCTTTGAATATCCCTCTCCATCGTTCCTAACCCATCTGGAAGATGCCAGCCCTCCCACTCAACACATTGGTAACAACGATTTAGAAGCTTCGTGGGGGGGGGGATGGGGAGATTCATCCTACAGTGGTGGTACCCGCCCAGCTCCTTCCTCACCCCTGAGCCCCCAGAGCCACAAGCTTAGCATGGGGCAGGGTTGGGGAGCAGCAGCTGTCCGGCTGCTGCCCATTGGGGGCTCCAGGAAAGCAATTATCTTGCTCTTAGCATAAAGGCACTGGTCCTTTTAACCCCACCCCCCACACATATGTGGGCGCGCGCACACACACACACACACACACACAGAGGCCAAGATGCTGTGGTAGCCCTCATCACCACCCCCTCCAGACTCCAGATTTCTGGCTGGCCCCAGTTCCAACCTCTGAGCACACTTCCAACACTTTAAATCATTTAGCCCGCTAAACCGGAGACGGCAAAATGGGTGCTATTTCTTAAAAACATACACGGAGCGTATTAAATTATTGATAGCCATTAAACAGGAGGAAAATATTAAACAGCTCTCAGCCCTTATCAATCATTCATGCAGTTTCCACTGGGGTGTTTTCTGGAGTGATCACTCGGGCAGCCCGGGGAGCTGGCTTCTGCCAGCAAGGAAGGCAGTGGCTGAAGAGAGGCCAGCAGGAGGCTGGCCCCAGCTGGGCAGTCACCTTGGGTAGGGGTAGGGAGGTGAGGCTTTGCGCTTGAGAGTGTGCAACCCTCTGCTCTTCCTGACATATTAACCAAGGGAGACTCCAGCTTCAGAAGCCCCTTAGTTAAATCCAGCCGACTTTTATTGGGCACCTACTATATATCGGGCCTGCAGGATGCACAAATAAACAAGCCCCAAGGCTTGGGGGGTGGCTAACGGTGGTGGTGGAGAACCCTTTGCAACAAAGTGTGGCTGTGCAGCCACACAACGATGGAGCCAAAAACTAGAGACACAGAGAAGAGGGATCAGCTGTGTCTGGATGAGGCTGCCAAGGAGGGATTCAGTGAAGTAATTCCTGGGGAAAATCTTCCATGGGAGCAGAAAATTGTCCCGAGGGGAAGATGGGAGTGGCACTAAGGGGACAGACCAGGCTAAGGCTGAACCCTGCCTGACCTGCTTGAACTTTTGGCTTAGGTGGGATGGGAGTTTGGGCACAGGGAGCAGAAGGCATAACAGGTAGGAGGCTAGCACCCTCACTATGACAGGCTTGAGGTTCACGCCAGCTGCCCGGCCAATATCCCCACCACACTGGTACGGCAGATCCATTTCCTGGCTCTGATTCAGGACACCTAAGCCAGTGTGACGCAGGCCAGAGAGGCTGTAAGCCCAAGGCCCTGCTGCCTTCAGAACACAGACAGGCTTGGCAATGCTACCCTTGGGAGACAGGATCCCCACTGCTGCCTAACCGTGCCAAGGACCCAGACACCAGGGCTGTGGGAGCCAGCAGACACCTGATACTGCCCCACCTCACAGCACAGGGACCAGCCACAGCCAGAGGCCATATGAGGA